TAGTCTCCCCATGTGGCTCACAAATCATAGCCTCAAGCACCTCAACAACAGCCATTGACAGTAATGGGGATACTGACATAGGCTTTAGTCTGTTGACAAGGATAATAACGTAGCCATGATTAGCAAACAATACTGACTTGGTATGCATAACTGTGGCATGCCACTCTCCTTTAAGATCTGTCATGGTATTTGCATCACCAGGCCCACCACCAATAAGTGCTGCAACTAGACCAGCAGCCTCAGCAGCCACACCCTCAGAACCATTTCTGAGTAAACCCATTATCCTTCCAACAGCAGCAGGAAAAGACATTACATGTGAGGCTGCAGTTCTTGAAGCAAGTAATCTCCGTAAGCATGCAACAAATCCCATCACTGTAGCTGCTGCTTTTGGTGAAGGTGGCGGCAAAGGAGGAGACTCTGGAGGAAGATTAGGAGTAGCAGGAAGCATGGTAATCAAGGCCATCAAAGTAACCTCGGGTACCTCAATGTTCTGAGGCACACCACTGTAGGGTATACAGGCATTAAACTCCCTTATTCTACGCCATAACTTGGCTCTTGATCCAGGTACAGAACCACCCTCAGCAACAGCATCTTTTGCAGCTGCTGCTAAATGTTTTAAATGCATGGTTGCACTTTCCATATCGGTTACAAACCTTTGATGACCATATTGCAAATGAACTTTCCCACAAGGAGGATCAATACGGTGACCAGGCATTGTTAGCCTTGGCAATACAGGAATTGCACATTGACCCTGCACAAAGCCAATACAAGAATTCAAATATACGCTTCTTCAAAAACACGTGTTACCTCCAGTTGCCGGAAAGGGTTTACCAGTGACATTAGATACTTATGATATAAATCCTTATGTCCCAAAACAGACATACAGTTTTAGAAAAACTCTTAATCAAAAAGAAGACACATCTACCTACTTCTGTTTGTAGTACATCACGAACTGCTGCAAGTAAGCTATCACGGGATGTGCTTGCATAGATCTACAATTCATGTCACGGACATGAGATACTTCCCCACATAGTAATCACATGGTAAATCACAACCACAGTAACATAGCAAATGCTTACATGGATTGGGCATCCGTCACTGAATTCAACTGCAAACATTTGGGGCTCCTCAGCAAATCGAACAAGAGCACTTACAGTAGACAAAGGACGAACAGTAACAGCCTGCAAGTATCTAGTGAAAATTCTCAACATTTGATATGATATTTTGGAGTATATATCCGCTGACACAGTCCTTTAGATGCATTAATATTCAATGGTTTTGTTTTGGCTATACAGAACCTTTATAAACTATCAACAAGCACAATAACAAATTCTATCATTCGCGCAGGACAAATGCATCAGATCTGCAAATTTAATGTATTAAGACTACTTTAACCTGCATAGAATGACAATTTTTTCACTCCTAGATCAGTTAAATGTATATGTTCATGATTCCAAGAACGCTATGCTAAAAAACCATAGGCTTGTTACATAGAATTTACACTTCCAAAATCCTATTTATGTTCAATCCATGTACTTTCAGCTTCGAATGTTCCCATTCAAATATTGTAAATACGACCATATATGTATATAAAGTATATCTTAGAAAATGATTGCTTGTGTTATTGCTTTATTTCTCTAGTGCAATATCTTTACAGACGAATGCATCAGCATTTATCTTTAGAAAACTCATGAAAAAGCTAGGAGTGTGTAAGTAGTATAATGAAGCAAATAAACAGATTTAGCTAATACACTTAATAAATGCACCACTTACTTCATAGTTCTCAGGACGCCTTTCAACAAGTGAAACCTTAGTAAGAATAAGTTGACGAGAAACAGCATCACCGTGCTCACCAAGTCCTCCTTTTGGGCCAACTCCTAAGCTCAAACCTGGAACATTCAGAGTTCCATGGGCAGCAGACCGCAACCTAGTTACAGACCAACCCCCCAAAGGGGTGTCTTCTGCACCAACTGCTTCTTTTGCTGTAACATTTATTCATTCAAGGTTAGACTATTAAATCTCGGTCAACAGGTAACCAAACACAAGAGGCCCGATAATTTGAAAATCAGAAAGGGCACGAAGATGTTAATAACTAATACCCCTTCGTTTTAAATACTCTGAAATGGTAAGGGTGTGGGTGTTCTCCACAGACAGTGTCAGGCCAACAGTGGATTTTGCAGTTTTTGTCTGCAATAATATAACAGACCATTATTATTTATTAATAATAAAAATAAACATAAATTCTCTAGTTCTCTCAAAAAAATAAACAATTGCCAAAGCAGTAATTCTTCTTCAGCAACAAAAGGTGGTCTAATCGAATATGTCATTGTATAACTAAATAATGCTTCAAAGTATTGAGAATCCCATGCATACCAAATTTGAGATAACAGCAGAATTTGAGGTTCCAGAAGCAGCTTGGAAAGCTTTTGATTTTCTTCCATACAGGGGGCAAAGAACAAAGCCACTTCCATGATCAACATTTTTTGTTCCATAAGCATCAGATAGAATTATAATTGCAGGGGAATCCATGTCTCTAAAATCCAGGCACCAGCGAAGGTCTCCGGATTTTGTTTCAATAAGTTCAACACCAACATAAGTCACTTTCAACTTCTGCAATGCGCCAATCATCCACAGCAATCATTTCATTGTTTATCACTCAATATCATCAAGAACAACAGCCAAGAAAGGACTTAGGAGCTTATTATATACCCTTCTGAAGTCCTAACAAATCATATAATGACTAACAGACATAAGCATACGCTCTTTCTAGTTTCTAGTTCTATCATATGCATGAAACCCTTGATTTTACTTTAAAAAAAACTTGATGACACTTAGTCCCAAAAAAAAAAAAAAAAAAAAACCCTGAACATTCTACTATTCTAGTTTTTTACAATCTAGCAGAATAAATTATCTTTACAAGAGACCAGAGAAATTGAATGGAGTAACTTACAAAAGGAACCCACTCAGACGTCCGTCGCCGTAGATGAAGAACTGGAAACTCAGCTACTGGCCCCAGCCTATTCCACCGTATTCGGTGCAACTCTGTCAAGATGCTTGCCCTGTATCTCGATGAGAACTTCATGGCTTTGAACTTGCCACGTCCGTCAGTCCGCACACTGATACTGAACTCGTTGGAATTCTCATCGCGCCCCAAAATTGGCGCCGCTCCTTCATAATCGTTTGCCGCATCATATGAATTCGTAACCGCCAGCGTCGACGGATCCAAAGTTATAATGGCAATGCTTGAAATGCACAGCATCCTCTTATAGCGGCCACGCCACGAGTGCTTGATGACCATATACCGGGCCAAGTACTCCGGCTCCTCTAGAGTTGAAGGAGCAGAATTGCCGGTACTTTCCATGGCGGGACGCCTCGCGGACGACACTGGGCGGTTATGATCGGATGCCAAGCGGGTCACGGATTCGACTTGGTGAAGATACGCAAGGGAGTGTAGACGAGGCGCATGATTAGCGCGGAGGAAGAACCACGGTCCCTGTGATGATGAAGCCGCCGCCGGGCTCCGGTGAGACCGAGACTGATTCGCCCCCAGTTCTGATACTTCTTATGTTATAAATCACATTAACTAGTTCAAAGATTGATCAAACCCTAAGAATATCAAAATCTTCATCCAATATAGAATTATATTCAATTCGGTGGTCTTATGATATCAATAAAGATGCACAAGAAAAAGAGTTGATCAGAGAGATCGACTTGACGGAGCATAAGGTCTAGAAAGAGAAAGAAGATGAGCGCAGCAAGAATGGAAACGTTAAAGCAGGTTCTGTTGGCTCGGTTGCCGTCGCTGCTCGCTGGTGAGTTGGGGAATGAGTGATCAATGATGAGGTGGCGAGTTCTTATTGGCTGAAGTCTGTAATATGGACATTCACCCCCGCGTTAAGATGTGTCTTGAAACCGCAGAAATTTCTGGCAAATAGTTAGAGCAAGATGGTTGGATCATCGATGTAATGGCCTTAAGAATTTTACTGTTTTTAATTCATGCACTTTTATTTATGAAATGCATCTAATTATACCCCATATAATTATAAATAAATATATTTGTTATTTTCTTTATAATATAGTAATTCTTTTATAATTTTAATATTTTTCATCAAATTATTAAACTATATATAACTTTTAGTTTGCCAAACTAATTTTTATAAATAAATAGGCATAAGTTAAATTACACTCAATAATTTGTAACTTTCACTTTAGTTTATAAACTGCAGTTTATGCAAACTTCAATTTTATAAACATTAATTATAGGTCATAAATTTTGACAATAGAAGTATGACTACTATATTTTTTATATAATTGAAAATTCTCAAATATAACGCCTTCTTTTCTTTTCTTTTTTGTTTCCCTCAAATATAACACTTTACACCTTTTTTTTTGTTTCCCTCAAATATAACATTTTATCTCTTACAGATTATCACGTAAATAATTTTTTAAATGCGAAGGTCAAAATGGTGGTTTTTTTTTTTGAATGATCAAAATGGTGGTTTTTATTTTCATATGATCACCATTTAGCAGAGTATGAGTGACGTTATGCAGGGATTTATTAAATTAGAATTTCCCTTGTCACCGGAGGGCATTAAAAAGCTCTCAAATTAAAACGGGGGTTATTAAAATTTAATCTCACTAAATTATAAACAACTCCTTGTTAAAATTTAATCTCACTAAATTATAATCAACTCCTTGTATCATTTACAAATAACATTCTTGACCTTTAAAATGTTAGAATAAACCTCTATATACCTTTTATATTTCAAAGTTCATTGAAGTTTTTATACTGTGATTTAGTCATTTAATTTAGAAAACGAAAAATAACTTTCCATTAAAAACCCCATTGATAACCCATTTCCTTTATGTCTCGCTCTATTATATAGCAGCCGAATCCTTCTCACCTCCAGCAAAAGTAGCTTACAAGGATCACAATTATGAGAACCTATGAAGAACTCATATGATAAGTAATAGGGTTGAACGTTGTGCCATGACAAGGTTCAAGTCAACTCAGAATTTGGCAGCAAAGCTTGCAGAAACCTTTGAACAGCAGATTCAGGCAAGCATATGCACACTATAATAGAACCATTGGAACAATCACCGTTCCCTTCAGGTAAAAACACACAAACTTGTGGGGTAGGTGTCAAATCTATGGGACCAGCATAAAGTGGCTTTCCCCACCCAAAGTCTGCAGATTTATATATAGAGAATCTTGTCCACTGAGTTATAGTCAGTTTACCACCAAACTCAAGTTGCTTTGGTCTATCCACCTCAATATAATCCACTGTAGATCTTAAATACTCTTCAGAGACGCCTTTTCTTGCTTCACGAACCAAACAAGTTGTTTCAGGGAGTTGTCCATGAACCAGATCAGACACAGTGCTCGTTGCACAAGCCACACACACCACATTGCCATAGAACCCATCTTTCAATGGCGGGTTCCTTAGTTTCTGCCTTGCATTGACTGAAAATGTTAGCCTAAGTTGATAATCAAGTGGTTTCACATCAAGGGCTTGTACCCATGATCTCCAAATATGAGCAGCCATGGCATCAAAAGTGGTGCAGCCTACAAGATCAAATGGTTGGGCCATAGCCTTGAGCCAGGTCTGGAACTCCTTGCTAATCCTAATACACTTTTGAACAGGCTTGCTTTGCCATAATTTCATTGTGAGGCTGGAACGTTCTTCAATTCTCATAAATTCCATGTGGGGAAACTTCACTACGGGTGGACTCCGAGGTCGAAACATTTCTCTATCCCAACATGGCTTAGGGTCTGTTATGAGGGTCCCAGTTCTTGCAGTGGCAGCCCATGCACTTAGGAACTGCATGGCTCCTAAGCCGTCACAGATACAGTGGCAGAGTCTCAAGCCAAGGCTAAAGCCACCACAACGGAAAATGGTTACTTGTGCAATAAGCAACGGCATGTCAAGTACTTTGTATGGTTCTTCATTGGGAAACTTGAAGATCAAGGGTTCCCAATCTGGGTTTGGTGCTGTAAGATCTCCTAGTTCAGATAATGTAGTTCCAGAATGTGCCTCCACCATGAGTGCCCCTTGATTTGATCCGAAGAACACTTCAAGTTTCCCATTCTTTGTCTCTCGAAGCCTGCCTGAAAGAGGGTAATAAGGGACCAGAACATCAGCAAGAGCATCACGCAGGGTTTTAATGAGAGGCTTTTGGTTTTCTTCATAATAATGCGGTTCATTTGTTTGATAGAAGTACACTGTGGGTGTAAAAACGCGAGCCCCAATCATGTCATCGAGGTTGGAAAGATATAGACTCTCTCCTGGTTTAGCATCGATAGGCTTTGATGGGGTAACTAAAAACATGTTATCAACAGTGACAGAAATGTTCAAGCGACGAAGATGCATCTCCTGAACCCATGGATGAGCCATCAGAGAGCGCTGAGGAAGGTCAGGCCAAATGATGCATTTGTAGAGATGAAGATTCCGTTCAAGCATGCAAAGATGGAGTCACCTTTCATAAAAACAAAGAGAAAGAAGATAAAAAGATAGTACTTGGCTTAGTATGAGCAAGATCATGAAGATTTCCAAGTAAAATACTGACTTCTGTGTGTTGATTTTTACTCCCATCATCCTTTGTGTGATTTTAGTTTTACTTTCGCTTTATTGTAAGAAACATAGCTGATGAATGAGAAAGTTTGCAGAAAAATAAACCATGTCAAGAAAACGAGGGGGATTTGAAATTCTTCTGTCATTGCTTGAGAAATCTCCCATCTCTGGATCCTGAAGTTGTACCCGGATTAATTGTTCACAACAAATTTATGTTTACCTGAAATCCCAAATCTAGAAGTAACCTGGAAAAATTATATAGTTTATTTGGCAAACTTGAAAACAGAACATGTCGATTTTATGATGGATCCTCAAGAAGCAAGAAAAACAAATGCTTTACAGGGAAGTGGTAGGTAGAGGCCGTGAAATGAGTGTTAAAAAGTTCGGACTCGCAACAAGAGTCAGTTCAAAAATATGCAACAGTTTTTTCTTTTGTTTTGCTTTTTTAAGCAAGGTGAGTATCAACCAATCAATATATAAATATAAATATGTAAAAATAAAATTTTTATATGAATTTTTTACCCAAAAAAAATTATATGGAATTGCATTCTCTGTAGACATTAATAGTGAAATTCACCTAAACTTCACTCAAGGACTTATATTAGTCAGAAGTTGATAACATTTTTATTTTACAAACACAATTAAATTAATCTTTGAAATATTAATTTGCATAATTTAATTTTTATTTAATAGTTGGTTTTTTAATTATAATATTTGGAAATTGACTGGGCAAATTTCCAATAATTAAGTTGATCGAACTTTGAAAATTTACAAAGTTTAATGTTTAGTTAAAAATATTGTTAAGATGCATTCAACATCCCGAAGTATTTTTTTGGGTACATCCAATAACTTAAAGTATTTTGTAGTATATCCAGTATCCTAACATATTTTTTTATGTGCATCCCGTGAAATATTTTTTGGTCCATTTAGCATCTTAAAGTATTTTTTTAAGTGCGTTCAGCACCCAAAAATTTTTTTAATGCATCCAGCACTAAGGCAAAAGATATGTCAGGGTGCTGGATGCACCTAAAAAAAATTTTAGAATGTTAGATACATCATAAAATATTTCGAGGTGCTAGATGCACCTAGAAAATACTTTGAGATGTAAGATGCACCTTAACCCAAAACATACTGTTAAACATTAAATTTTAAACATTAATAAACAATATATGCCTCCAAATAATATTAATAAAAGAGATTAATTTCAAAATATAGAAAGCAGATCATAACTTATTTTTAAACTGGGGTTGTTTCACAACAAATCATGAAAATCAAATCCTCAATCAAGGATGACCTATTCTTCATGTTAATCTTAGATGGTCTGTTTGATATAATTTATTAAAATTATTTTTGACTAACATATTTATCGACAATCAGTGATTGAAATTAATATGATGGAAGTGTCATTGAAGAATTATTTCATTTTAAAATTTAAATTAATAAATTAAATTGATATGATCAACATACTACCAATCATGTTTATTTTCATTCTAAAATTTAAAAATTAAAACTAGTAAAATCATAAATTAGAAGTTGATGTGTCAAATATCTATGTCAATTTGTGTGATGGAAGGGGGGGTTTAAAGAAGCTTTATGTCTTTATCACCTTAATTACCTTGACTGTCGTTATTGGAATTTATGAACTCTGCATAAAGTATTTTATATAAAAAAAAAATATTTCTGTTTTTTGGACATTTGAAAACTTTATGAAAATGCCCCTGCAAAAATGCAAGGGATATATTATTTGTGCGTTTGTTTTGTTTAAACGAATAGTTCTAGTATCAGTAGCATTAAACTAAATATCCATAACAAATTAATGAAGACGTGAACATGCACGGACCAGAAATTTCTCTCAATTCATGTTCATGTCGCATAAATCGCAGCAGATTTATATTGCATTTCTGAGGTTTAAAACAGTTTCACTTAAAACAAGGTACACTTCAAATTCCTGCAGTCGTTTAGGAAAATATTTATTCAATTGATTATATGCTGCGCTGCCCAAAACACAAACTTAAAACCAAAACTACTGATGACTGACTTTATATTGATTTCATTTAACTGAACTGTGAACATAAAAATGGCTCCTTTTCTTCGTCATTCATGATTCCATGATCACAATTCACAAGAAGCTAATAATAAGCAACTCACAGGACTACCTGATTAAGGTTCAGTAGAGTGATTTTGTGCCATATATTCACGAAAGTTGACAAAAAGTGAGGAAGAAACGTGTGCACAACAGGGAGTGTGACTAAAATCAGCGACACATTTAAATTTGCTTCATAGTGCAGTTGAAAGAACTGATACATTACCAAGATAAAATTTTCACAAGAAGAATAAAAAAAATACTACAGCCAAATTTCATTTACATTATGAAATAAATCATCATTTCCCTTAAATTAGAACAATTAGAACAAATCAATCTGGCTATCGAAGGAGCATCTCTCTCTTTCAACGTTCTCAACATCTAAACCAAAATCAAAGTTGTAACAGGCAATCATGATGATGAAGCAGGGGATGAGCAGCTATCAAAAGTTGTTCCCACATGCTGGATCACAAAGCCGTAGATCTTTCTCTTTAATTTTTCAACCTTGTCTAGTAGCAGGTCATCCCCTTTTGAAACTACACGGTCCAACCATTCATTCACTCGCTTCAAATGAGATAAAACTACAGCAATAGAGCCACCATCCAGGGGTAAAGACTTCTCTCCAAATACTTTAAACCCGGCATCTAGGGACTCCTCAACAAACCGCAGAAACCACATTTGCATTTCCGACAACAAATTTGTTCCAAGCTCTGCTGTCTCTTTCATTCCACTGCCTGCTATCCACCCCCCAACAATAGGCTTGGAGGTGACATTCAGATTCAGATTGTTCTTGGCTGCACCAAGAGATTTCCTTTTTGACAAACTCCTTTGCAAGTTTAATGGAGGGTTAGCGTCACTTCCAGTTAGGAGGGACACCACCTGAAGATCAGTGGCCAAGGCAGCCTCGACCCAGAGAGAGAGCGACTTTGATTGCTCTGTTGGATGCCCATCATCAGGTGTCTCAGAATTATGACTGCTCACTACTGACTCAGCTATTTTAACTGATCTCAGAACGTCATCATAGATTGTAAAAAACCGGTCTATGGTTGGCAACGGATTCGTGGCCTTGCATACAGAACAGAGCTCTGAGAACATGCTGAAGTAAGCAGAAGGGGGAAAATATCCATGTTAGAGTTACTGAGGAAGTAAAATATGGTCGTTGAAGCACTCATATGAACCTTGACCTTTAAGTAGAAAATGGACCTTTTCTAAATAGCAGATCCGATACTCTCTGCTGATAAAGTAAAAAATTTGGAAATTTAAATTTAATGACAAGAGAGAAAGGAAGCATCAATCATTACCTTAAATTCCTAACAACACACTCAGTTGTATTGGCCTCCTCTAATGCTTGAGCAGCAACTGCAGAAGCCAGGGCTTTCCTTTGCATTGCGTCCTGAATTGAGTTGACAACAAGATAGGCTCAAGTTATTCACCAAATAAAAGTGATTAATCGAATTGCAGGATAATTAGTGAATAGTTTTCATCATTCTCATGATCCTAGAAAACCACATCAATCATATAATATAATTTTCATGCTTGTCTTGAACATGCCTACAACGTAGGTGCATATTTCTAAATTTCTGGCCATACCTTTCCAAGCTTTGCTAGTTTGGCTGACAAGGCATCTAATGGAACCGTGCCATCGGTCCATTTCTTCTCATAAATGGTGATACCTAGAGCTGCAAAATTGCATTTTTCTTGAGCCTGATAACTTTCAGTCGAACTAGATCGAGTTTTTTCCTCAGCTGAAGAGTTATTGCTACTGGTCTTCTGACCATTCACATCACTTAATCGCCTTGAGATTGCAGCCTGGAAATGTCATTGGTGTCACTTTGAACGTAATATGGGCAAAGAAAACTATGTGGTAACCAAACACAATAGTAGTGAAGTTAGGAAATAAACATGCATAAACCTTGTCAGGTTCAGGATACACAAAAATATAAACCCATATGTTACCAGTTTCACGTGTTATTGTGATATTCTAAATCTAAATTGCTAATTTACAACTATATATTTGTCAATATTTTACAAAATTTCAGTTCTTTGCAACAAGTAGAATTATAATGGAGTATGGGAGTTGATCTCTTTTCTGTCATAAGAAAAACCAGTTATGTATTTACCTGTGTACGCAAGATCGCTTGTGCATCAAGTTTACTTTTAGGCGCACTCTTTTCTTTCTGTTCGGGTGCTGCAATAGTTGGTTGCTCCTCCCAGTTCTTCCTGGTTGCTTTTGCAGATCCGACAAGTGCTTCTGACACTTTGGAAATTCCGGCAACCATAGTTGCCATCTTCTTCTTGCTTGCAGAATCAGCAACCCCCGCAACCATGGGAGAAATCTTGAGACCACCGGATAACCTTCTCCCAGGAGAAAGTGAAGCTCTTCTTGGGTTTGGCGAGGCCTGTCTCCTCCCATTTGGAGAAGGCTGCCTATATCTTGATGGTACTATAATCGCAGGTTCTTTTGATGCCTTGCGATTCTCATCACGTGCAGCAACTAAGCTTGGAACCACACACTTAGATGGAACCGGAGACGCCGACCTCTTTCCTTTTCCTGCTGGTGAAGGGTCTCTCTCCACCACTGTAACATTCTTCTTCCCTGCAGATGCCGATCTTTTGGCTGTTGCGGGAGATGAAAACCTTTGAGGCTTATCCGGAACCTTAATTTCATCCGAATTGCCTGATGGCAAGTTATCTCGAGGAGCAAGAGGTTGCCTTGTTTTTACTTTTTCAACCTTATTTTCTGTCTTCGATTCCTTGATTTCCCTTCGCGCCTGCTCAGGCTTCTTGCTTGAAAGGTACATGGCGACCGGGTCGACTGATGGATCCGAATCCGAAACTGGTTGAATCACGAATTCCCGTTTGGAAGCCGAGATGCGTGCAATAAGTGGTTCAGGACTCCCCACAAATGGGTGGCGGCCAGCAACAGGTCGAATCCCAGAGACACAAGGAAAAGGAGAATCGAACTCAAAACGGTCAACATACACGAATTGGCCGAGCTGTAAACGATTGGTGAGGATCAGTTCGTTATCACGCTCAGAGAGAGAGACGTAAGTGGAATTAAGAGAATCGGAGAGCTGGACGTAGAAGCCATGGTTAGGCCAGAGGTCGGAACCGGCGAGAGCAGGGACGATCCCGATGACTTGAAGAAGAGCAGATCGGTGGTCGCCGGTGACGCGGGTGTTGGAATTCATGGCCTGCAATAATTTCAAAAGGATTCCTTGAGTGAGGGAAGCCATTGTGCTCCGTGTGTGCTGGTGAGTGTCACGAGGAGGCAGGTGTGAAGGAGCTGAAGAAGTAATAGAAAACGAGTACTGGAAATGTGTCCGTTGCAGAGTTTAAATTCAAATGCGGACCGTTTTGGACTGGCATGGTGCCGTTGTTCGCTATCCCATTTATTTGAATTTAATCTACCGTTACAATTCACGCGTTAATGAGGAGCACAGTAAAGGGTTCCCGGTAACATAGACTAATGCCTAATAACATGACACGTGTCCTCTGCCCCGCTTAGATGGGCGACTCTTTTTTGGATTTGTGTAATTCATGAAAGGGAATGAAATCTATCATGAATTTATAAAAAAAAAAAAAAAAGAAGAAGAAGACGAGAAATTATGTTTTAAATGAAGTTATCTCGACTTGGATTTGGGCTAATATATTTTTGGCCATCAAAATAAATTCATTCCGAAAACAAAAAATCTATGTTTGTGTACAAGTGTCTATGTTTTTTGTACTGCGATTCATGCTATTTGACATCTTCGGAATACTTTGCTTTTTTTATATGAACTCTCTAGTACTCAAATTTATCATAAAATTGTAAATGACATGAAAGTTAAATAGAAACACTTGTTACTAGAAAGGAATAGGTATAAAAAAATATATTATATGAAGGATTTAACTCTTTTCATTCACTTTTCTTCTTAATATCTGGATATTTAAGTTGATTGTGACACTGTTTTATATTTCTATAAGTAACTAAGATGTAGCTAGTGGTAATATAACTTAATTGGAGTTGATTAATGCCCTGTTTTAAATGACCTATGAGCAATTATTTAATCATAATTTATAAAAAATAAAATAAATATGTGAGACAAGTTTTATCTTGATTTATGTAAAATGTGCTTATAAATGTTTATAATCGTGATTTCAAACAAGACCTAAGTTGAAATGGATGATTAGCTCTTTGTTTTATTTTGTATTTGTTACCCACTTCATTGAGCTTTTCGTTTAGGTTTAGGAATCGAGATTAATTGGTCTGGTAATGCATAACACCCCTCTGGTTTAACGCTGAGAATACTCATTTACCATGGTCAACCTTGAACACTTTCAAGCTCCACTAATCAAGATGTTTAAAAAAAAAAAAAAAAGGGAACATGCAATTATTAAACTATTCAAATTACTGCTAGTTGGATTTCATAAAGGATTATTGTCGAAACAATTAGTCGATTCGTTGTGGTTAATGTTATATTGTTATCAGCCAGAGAATAGATATTTAAAGAGTGTTTGGGTGAAAATCAGACCATAGTTTTAGAAATGATTTTACGAAGTTCAAGATAAGTATGTGAAAAGAGTTTCGTTTCAATTGATATGAAGGTACTTAATAGAAAATATGGAAACAGGTATTTTAGGAAAAAATGATAAAATATGAGTTAAAATATTTTGGGAATAGCTTACTATATTATCTTTAGGCAAGTGTCAAGATATTTTGTTAGCAAGTTGTTATGCAAGTAGATGCATTTTCATTGCAAGTGTCAAGATATTTTAGCAACTTGTCATGCACGTGATGTCTTTTTCTTTTATTATTTGCAAGTTGATGGAATGAAGCATTAGTCTATAAATAGGAGATCTTGTGTGCTTTGAAATCAGACATTTGATGAATGAATTTGAGGCTACGTGATTTCACTCTCCCTCTCTTCTACTCATCTCTCCCTTCTAAATCTGTCTCCCTCCCTAGTCTGTTCGTTCTTCCCCTTTCCCTCCTCTGTTTCTATCCATTTCTCATAAAATCCCCACTGTTTACAGTAGTTCAAGGGAGTGTGAGTGTGTGCTGCATCAGTACTTTTTTAAAATGCTCTTGGGACATTCCGAACACTCCCTTACTAAAAAATTGGAAAGCATAAAGCATTCAATTTCTTTGTTAATTTGCCAGAAATTCTAGGTGCTATCACTTCTTACTCTCTCTTGCACAATAAATGTAACTTAAATCTCAAACCTTAGAATGATATACGTAGCAAGATGCAACATTCCGGTATCAATAAATAAATACTCAATTGGTTAGAAGCAAGGCTCCACACAACATGAATGATATTTCCAAGAAAGATACAGGCTGGACAGAAACCCATATCATTGCTTGCATTGCCAAAGCACTGAATGTGTGTGTGGAACAAAAAAAGGAAGAGAAGAAATTATCCAAAAGTGTCCAGTGGGAAACCTAGAATTTGCAAATTCTCTACTCTAACACAACAAATTTAAACGCTCAAAGTGAGCCACTCAAATAAAAGGAAAATCTGAGTCTGTAATAACACATTTTGAATTGACTACTTAAACCTATCAGTTACACCAAAATCAAAATCAAAGTACATAAACCCACAGCATTCTTTAGTATATCTGATAGCCCTCCATGCATCAATGAAGAACCATAAGAAATCATTACTGGGAACTGGCATCCATTTTCTGATGGATCCTTATCTGTTACAATAGCCAAACCAGAGAAATCACAATCCCAGTCCCGTTGGTTATGTACTTGATAATACATGTTGAAGGCATAAGATGCATTCCCTTGGAGGGTCAGATTATTACAAGAAGATCCATAACCCAAAGAAGTACAATCAGATAAACTACAAGCATAGTCAATACTATGAGCCAAGAACAGTGCATTAGTATCAGCATCAGTGTTCAAAACACACCATTGTCTTTCCATATATTTTATACCATGCACAGGAACTAGACCCTTGTTTAGTTCTTGACCTGTTAAGTCTAGTTCATACTTTGGCTTCCCATCAAACTCAAAAATCCCCCAGTGCCTTTCAAACAAGCCAGGAGCAACACTTTTTGCGTTCTCATCAATGAGGCTGAACAGATATATGTCAATGATCCCTCTCCTTTTAGGGGAACCATTTCCACTCAGAACATGTTTAAGCAAACCTTGGTTGAACCTCTTTGCATTTTGAATGTTGGCATTCTTATCACCATCTGTTGGCCAGCCTACTTCCCCAACGAGGACTTCCATGTCAGGGTACCCGGCCTTTGCTAAAGCCCATACAAGAGTGTCCAGATTGGCATCAAATACATTAGTGTAAACTGAACTTCCGTCTCTAAGAGGCTTGCTGTTTCCCTCAAAAAATGCAAATTCAATGGGGAAGTTGTCGTTGCCATAAAGACTAAGGAAGGGATATATATTTACACTAAAAGGGGAATCACATGAATACAAGAATTGGACGATTTCAATTGTGAGGTCTCTTATTTCAGGCCTGAAGTCACCAGCTGATGGCACTGGATTTGATACAGGGGAAAAATAAACGTCTGCATTGAAGGGAACTGTGACTTTGACCTTCGAACCCAAGCCAGCATTATAGAGTGATGTTTGTATATTCTTTAGAGCTGGGAAAGTTGTATGTAGATAAGTGCCATTATATGCTTCAAGGAAAGGCTCATTACCTACGGCAACAAACCTGCAAATTGCAAACTGCAAACATCATCCACGCAAGAAAGAGTAGTTCAAATACGACTTTAAACATGCGAAAGAAACTGTTACAAGTAAACAAGAAGAAGATCATCTGAAACCAGTTAAAAGCTGCTGTTTCCCTTTATTAACTGCATCTCAATTATTAGAATTCATACCAGATGAACATTTCATTGAAACTCAAACCTTCAGATAAGGTGTCTGTGGTTTTGTGGTCACTTAATGACCTCTACGAAAATTTGCGATACGGCCAAGAATTTGACTAAGAACAACGAAAGGTGAGCAGAATCTTTAATCGAAAATTAGATATCACTTTGGAAAATATGAAATTTAGACAATTAAATATCAGAATATGGGATACCATGCAACACTTTCGTAGAACCAAAAACTATCAGCTAGGCAAAATGACAAACACTACTAGGACTACTCAACTTGATATTGACTCCACCAGGATATAAGTAACCGGTCACATTTTCAGCGACCCAAGAATCTGCAGCACTAGGATTCTTACTCATCTCCTCCAACATGTTATTAGGGATTGCTAGCATCACTTCGATATCAGTCCCCAGCAGAGCCGCCATGATCCACTCATCCGCATCAAACAGCTTCAATTTATCAAACCCATTTTGCTTTAGCATTTTAACCACCTTCTCAGGCGGAAGCTGGTGTGTAGCCATGGTTCCCCAGTTCACGCCAACGGCAAAACCCCTCGGGGCCATGGCACACAAAACGAAGAACAACGCCATTATTAGGTGGTGACACCTAAAATCCAATGCCATCTTTAGATTCTTTTCTCGATTTTCAGAAGGGGTTTCTCAAATCTTCCGCAAAGATTCAAGAATAATGAAAGATAATGAAAGAAGCTAAATAGAATGATGGGGTTGAAGTATCAATCAAATGAAAGAAAAGGGGCAGGAGATTCTCTTTGTAGCAGAACTTTTATGGTCGCGATGGTCTTTGCTCGTGGGCATTTGTGCCTTAACAGAGAAGGTACAATATGACCCCCAGTAGCTATAATTTCGTACAAGAAGAAAGCAGAAGATAAATATTCGTTATTAAGTTAGTTATTCAGTTACGATAGTCACTGGCAAATGCCAGCATGAGTCGCAGTATCGTTATAAGCTCTTTCATCTATCACACGCGTAACGATAATGTTAAATACATATTAGAGGGCTGTAAAGCCGACCAAAAGTGTCTCTCACAGTACCCAAAATAAAGTAAAAGCTTCTTATTGGCCATAAGATTCAATAAACAATTAACCATAAAAGTATAAAACACTCTTTTGGACCCTCTTTTTGGCCAACAAATGCTCTCTAAAACCTTACGAGAACAATTTGCATCTGTGGCTGACACAAAGCGCCACAAACTTTAACCCCACCCAAAAAAACAAAGATTATCATATATTTTAATTCTTTTCGAATAATGTAATACAGATATATTAGTGGTATCATGGTCTCATGCCACATTTATATCAGCTAGCGTACGATGTTCAGTGCTGTGTGCGCAATGTGAATGCGAGGACTCTTAGCGGGCCAAATATGAATTTATGTCACAAAGTGCACATGCATTGACTGGGCATCCTCACAGAGTTGAAGAGAATCCTCTATTTGCCAACTTTCCAGCAAACGCTTACGTGCTGCTTTTGCCTGTTGATCCTTTTGCCTGATACCGATCGATCTCTTTTACAAACAATCGTCACGTTGGGGGCAAAGAAAATGATAGATATGGAGGAGAAGGAAAGTGATACTCCCTTTGGTCTTACATATAAGATTTTGCATTATGAATTAGATCTTATATTTAAAACATGAGATAGTATAGTGTGTGTGTATAATTGATCTTTGATATGCAAGTTCGGCGAAATCATTCAATTGAGTGTGTTTTATAGTCATCTAGATTGTCTCTAATAAAGTATTCTAGTTGCATGAGATTTTTTTTAGACTATTTTTTGGCCAAATCTGCTTGATTGTTTTTAATTAAGATTGAAGGTTTGAATTTTAAGCATGAAAGATTAAAATTAAAAAAATCGCACTAAGAAACCTATTTTTCATTGAGTCCATCAATGTTCAATATATGTTAATTAGTACTAAATACTGCTAATTTGTTAATTAATACTAAATACTATATTTAATACTCTTATTTGTTGATTTGCAGTTTCATAAATGCTACTCTTCCGGTCCTTAATATAAGACCCATTTAACTAATTTGATTATATTAAGAAAGTTAGGTAAGTTAGTTAATTATAAGAAATATGACACATTTTTTCTAAAACACCATAATCATCCTTCTTAATACTCCCTCTTCCTTTTCCACCTGATTATAGTTGAAAGAGTATCCATAGAGGCAATTTAGAAAAAAACTGATAAATATGAGAAATGGGTCTTATATTTAGAGCCAAAACTAACTCAATAATTAGGTCATATATTAATGACCGGATGAGTAATAGGCCAACGAAATTTGTCTAGTTATAGACGAAGAAAATGTACCTCGGTAAAAATTTGTCTATTTGTTGGCTAAACCACATTCCTTCTGTTGAAAATTGTAGGACAATGTTAATTAACTTTCACTCTCAAGAAAATAGTTAATTAAAAACCACATACCCTTTCTACACCTAACCTTATTTAATAGGGTAATTTAATTACCAATAAATATGAAATTTTTCCTCAGTTTGATTATTCAGTGAGAACATTTATAGAAAAATCAGTGATTATTCATAGAAAACACCAAAATGCCTTGTTTTTTTTTTTTTGCCAACAAAAGAATGCCTTGTATTTTCAGATATTTAAAGGGTTAAAAATGGATAGAGCGTATCGCCTTTCATGTCATAGATCTCCTTGACTAATATAACTTTAGAGTGACGAGTTCAAGGCAACTCTGAATTTTCAAAGATATCTCTTCTAGGCCTTGTTGTTTTATTTCTATGTTGGAAGCCTATAATTCCAGGATAATGATTCCATACACCTAATCTAAATATAAAAAAAGAAAAAGAAAAATTAAATACGCAATATGAAGTGAAAGGATACGGTTCATGTCACAGGACAAATGAGAAAAATTTATCTTGATAGCATGGTCTTGTAATACATATGTATAGTAGTATAATTTTTTTTGGTTTGCTAAATTCGAACAGAGGGTGCCACCGTGGCACACTCTTCGCGCCACTGTACTGCAAAAGTGCTATTCACCTTCGAATATTTTCCTCCCACTTCTAAAAGGGTGTTTAGATTATGCTAAAAAAAATATTTTTACGTAAAATGAGATAAATTTTTTTATATATTTATTTTTTTAACTATTATTTTTTTTATTCAAACACCCTATAAATCATATCATTCAATACACTAATTTTGATTTTTAAGTATAAAAGATAGTTTGACATTTAATTTATTTTTAAATATAAGATTCAAATATATTTTGCTTTTCATATTTATTCATTTTTTAATATAGTTTTTATAATAGTTACATATGCCAAACATTTCATCAAATAATAATTTTAACTAATAGATATGATTAATGAAGATATTTTAAAAAGATAAGACTTATTTATTATAAATAATTAATTTAATTATTTTTTAATATACTTAAATTAGTCGATTGGTATTTATATTAAGAATCGGAAACGGTAGTTTTTATGTTATTCTATGTGGATTTAAGTGGATAAAGATACTCATGCCAAAAAAAAAAAGTAGATAAAGATACTGCCTGTGTAATATCAATCACAAACATTTTAAACGATTTATATTATTTTCATGGAAAAATAAATGTCAAATTTGAACTTAACATTTCAATGGTTCCGCTTAACAAATTTTGCCTAATGATTTTGATAATTTATTTGGTAGGAATCGCTTCCCTCGATATTCTGTGGGAGGTTATTTTTATTTTTATTAATTAGTTTATTACTTGTTTTCACATAAAAAAGTCAATAATTTTTTCAAAATTTAATCAAAAACTTTTCTCATGGCATACTAAATAATTTTTTTATGTATTATATGAAACATAAATAATAATTTATAAATGATGTCATTCTCCAGAAAAAAATATTATAATTTTTATATTCTCTATTTTGATTGATTGAATAATATGTATAATGAACGAGGGCGTCGCTGCTGGTTTCTGCCGGTAAGGCCTCTTTCTTCCTTCGTGCGCGGGTGCCCCTCGTTTTCTTTCTTACCTTTAATGTAGTAAATGAGAGATCCCAACTGTAATTCGTCATCCAGATCTCATCCCCTCCATCCCTTCCACCACCCCTCCCAAAAAAAAAAAAAAGAAATTTCTCTATTCATGCTAGTTGCTACCCACTTACCTGGCAAAAGGTGGTTCCTGTCATCATTTTTTTTCGCCCTTCTATTTTATTTTCTTTTCTCGAATGGAAATATTTTCTTCTTCTCATGTGTGATGTGCTTGGGGATGGATAAGAAACGTATACGTTATAGTTTATTGATTATTTTCTTCGGGTTTTATTACATCTTGGTGCTGCTTTCAATTTTTGTTGCTTAACGCATTTCGAGGGGCTGTAGCTAGGTCATCGCGAAGGAATGTGGTGAAAGGTACATTCTAGTACTGTATGGGTGAAATGGGGACTGAAGCAGTTGAAACGAGTCGTCTGAAAAATGGGGAAGCTGAGAACAGCCTTCACAAGCGAACTGATCAAGTTCCCGCTGAGGGTTTTACTGGTGGATGTGAAAATTCGCTTTCTGACGAGGCTGATGGAAACGGCGGGAATGTTTCAGATAGTCTTGAAGTCGATATACATCCTGATGCTGTAAGTGTGAGTTGGACTTGTAGTTGTATTTATGAAATTTTTGCTTCCAATTGTTGTGTAACTTCTGAAATCTGTTATGATTTTATATATGACATTATCATTTAGCCACAGAAAAGGGCCAGGCAGCAGAAGGAAGTAACTTTTCAGGATATGTATCAAAACCAAGACATGTTTGATGATGACGATGACGACAGTGATTGGGAGCCCATACAGAAGAGTCTAGAAGTCATGAAGTGGTTCTGCAGAAATTGCACGATGGTTAACCTTGATGATATCAGTTATTGTGATGTATGTTTGTTATCTACCCTTTCGCTGTAGGTTATGCTAATTGCTGAATAATGGCTTTTAAATTTAAGGGATTCAGATTTTATCTTTTTTAATGGTTGGTTAGCCATTTTCAACTGCATTTTTGCTTGTAAAATGTTTGCCAGTTCTGTGTGACGAATGGCTTTTGGTAATATTGCTCTATATTACTTGCAGATATGTGGGGAACATAGAGATTCCAAAATCCTGAGCTATGGTTTTTTTGCATCCCCTTATGCTGAAGACAATGATTTGACTGAGGCGAAGCCCAAAATCAAAGAAGGTATAAGGCTTTTATATGCATGATTGGGTAGTTAGATTGCATAATATGATTGATTAGAAATACCGTTATTATCCCTTTATAAATGTGGACCAAAATATTTGAATTTTGTATGTTCTAATTTAGTAAAATGGATAATAGGGGTTGCGCATAGCAATCTTGTTTGGCTTTTCTTCCAAATATGACAAAAGGTTTTGCTGCTCAGTTTAAGCCGCCATATATCACCATTTATTTACTTTATCGGCCTAACATTTATTATTCTGAAAGGGGGTCTGGGGAAACAACCCACCTCATCAATTGTAAGTTTAATGCAAAAGTGGATGGTATCCTAGTCTCTGGATGAGATGTTAGACATCATTAATGGGATGTAAGAGGGTTTGAGGGATGAAATTTTCAATATTATCTTTATGATGTTGTTTACAGGTAATAGGCAAACGAAAAGGATTGGGGGCGCAAAAAAAAAAAGAAAAAGAAATGAATAATTTAAAAGATCCCCAAATATTTCAAAGATCCCAATTTCTAGTGGTTTCAAATTTGGGTGTAGGTCCCTCCCTATTATGCTGCTACATTGTTTGAGATTCATTCTATTTTTGTCCTTATCTTTGTAGAAGTTGGCACACAAGATGTAGCTGCAAGTTCCACCACAGCAATTGGCTTTGATGAGAGAATGTTGCTGCATGCGGAAGTATGGTTCTGATTATTTTTTTTAAATTCCTGTACTCTGCCTTCAAATTGAGAAAACTTGGTTGATTAAGCCATGGTCTTCATTCTGCAATTGTTCACTTTTGTAACGGTGGTTTCTGATAATATTTTTTGTGCCATGTATGCTGTACGGTCACCCAGGTGCGGTGTTTCACTATAAATTTGGTGTCTGTTTATTTGCCTAATTGATTGCTGTGGTGACTGGCTAGTGTAGGTTCAGATGAAGACACATCCTCACCCAGAAAGGCCAGATCGTCTCAAAGCTATTGCTGCTAGTTTTGCTACAGCTGGTACGTATCTTTTGTTAAGATTTGCTATGATCATGGTTCCATGGTATGGTAACTATCATGTTTTATGACATGCATCGGTGTATTGTTACTTTGATTGCATAGTATTAGCACTCCCCTTGATCAATTCACCAATTTGACTCGCACAGGAATATTTCCGGGAAGATGCTATCCGATTTCTGCCAGAGAGATCACTTTAGAAGAACTTCAATCGGTAATTGACTTTACAACATCCTGGAGGCATGGATATGTCCATACTCCATACTGCCTATGCCTTTTGTACTATCTTCTTCTTCTTCTTCTTATTCTTATTATTGTTATGATGATGTTTTAAGTGGTGATTTTTAGTTAAATTAGGGTCAAAATAAATGCAGTCTGAATGAGTGCATTCATGTCCTTTTTGTTCACTTTTTTCCTCATTCCTTTTTCTTACGGTGAATATGAAGGTTATGAATTAGTATTATGGACCCAATTTTAACTGTGACGTTTTGGGATTGAAGGTTCATTCTTTGGAGCATATTGAATCTGTGGAAGTTACAAACCAGATGATTTCTAGGTATGTTAAAGTTCTCCCTCTTCATCTGGGAGTCTGGACATATCTAATGTGCTACAAGGCTGTAAACTGATTTCTTGCTCTCAGCATTAAAGAGGAGCACTTGAACAAGTTTTTTTTTTCCCCGCCCCGGGGGGGGGGGGGGAGGGGGCACCTGATTATGCATATTTCTTTCTAAACAGAGTAGCCTCTTTATACCAGTTGAATTCTAATTCAAGAACTTCACAGGATCTTGAATTCTTTATTAAGATTTTTCCTGTGATCTAGGATGTAAGCTTATCATGACTTTTCCTTTTGGTATATTGTTTTAATACATCCTCTCTTTTTTTTTTTTTCTTTTTTAACTTTGGTTGGCCCTCAACGTTTTTTCTTAATTGTTTTATTGCTGACTATATTATTGGCCCTCTACTGGCCAATGACTCAAACTTCGTAATTTGCATTATTTATTTCCCTTGTTGGGGCCCTCTATTGGACTGGCAATTTGTTTAGTATAAATGTCGTGCCAATGTACTTTCATGCTTTTGTTGGATGCTTACTCGTTCATATGATGTTTTTACTTATCATTACGATTGCTGACTTCTGTGAATGCAGTTATTTCACTCCTGACACATATGCCAATGAGCATTCAGCTCGAGCTGCTAGGCTGGCGGCTGGTTTATGTTCTGACCTGGCATCAGCAATTGTTTCTGGACGTGCCAAAAATGGATTTGCTTTGGTATGAAAATGCTTACATCATCGGTCTGTTCCTGTTATATGGTATTTCAAGTCAGAAACTTTTGATGTTTGTTCTCTAGTAAGTTATGTTCCTAATTAAACCAGGTCAGGCCTCCTGGTCATCATGCTGGTATTAGACAGGCCATGGGTTTTTGCCTTCATAATAATGCTGCGATAGCAGCATTGTCAGCTCAGGTTGCAGGGGCTAGGAAGGTGCTAATTCTAGATTGGGTAAAGTCTATACTCATAATATTTCTATATGAAATTATGTGATTTTCTGAAGTCAGTTTTAATAGGGTATGTGCTATGCTATTAAAGTGAGTGATTTTGCTTTATTATTTCTTTTACAGGATGTTCATCATGGCAATGGGACACAGGAAATATTTGAGCAAAACAAATCGGTGAGCTGTGTGGTTATAGTACTTTATTATTTGCTGTGCATATGAATTTTTTGAACTGAATTTATTTCTGGTGGAGCTAATTTGATGAGCCGAACTTTTGTGCTTTATTCCCTTAACCCAAATTTTGTTCAAGGGAATGCGCCAATTTGTGGTGTTGTTATTGAGTAGTTTCATGAATTTCATGAATATCTGGGGATAATAGTTTTATGTGCCCCTCTATGCCGTGTTTGATTGTTCTTTTAGTTTTAAACCACGCAAAGCCTTAATCTTTCCGTGCATCTTGTTATTTTCTCATGAATTCTATCTTATTTTTTTGAAGTTATGTTTTGGGTACATGAATAATGCACTAGCTTTTTATATTGCTGATGAGTTTTTAACCGTTCTGTAGGTCTTGTATGTATCATTGCATAGACATGAGGGGGGAAGGTTTTATCCTGGTACTGGAGCTGCTGACGAGGTATATGATTGCAGACAATTTTTGAAACTAACCTGCTGCTGCTGGCCATCTCAGCCAGGTGCTTTTTGTTCTGATATAAGTGGGAAATGTGGTTTTCTTTTTCCTTTTATTAGAGTGAATAAGGGTGTTATGATGAGGCTAGTCATATTGTTTACAGCTTATGAATGGTTCGACTCATAGACTTTATATGATATATAAATATCGATATATAGATTGATTTCACAAGCATATTGGGCACAGTGCACCATGTAGAAGCGGTGCATTGGAGTTGATCTGCTAATCTATTTGAAATTTTGGTGGCGTCCCTTATTGTTGTAGTAGTTTGCAATTTCATCAGTTATACGTTTTTTATCCTATTCAATATCAAAGAAATATCGCAATGTCAAACCCATTTACTGAGCTTGTTTTCCAAAATTTAAAATGAATATCGCCTACATCATACATTGTGTTGCTCATTTTTGGACTTGTGTCTTGATTGTTTTGAGCCGTAATGGTATGCTTGCTGTTGATGTATGCTGTTGGTGTTGTTCTTATCCTGGTGAAGTTTGAGTTAGACACTTATTTGTTACGCTTTGCTTGAAATTCATGTGCTTTGGCATATTTAATCTTTTCATCTGATTATCCCTTAAACGTACCATTGTTAGAAATGTTTTTAACTGTGTATGGACTACTATACGTAATAGCTAGTCTGGTTCATTTCCACAGGTTGGTGCCATGGGTGCGGAAGGATACTGTGTGAATATTCCATGGAGCCGTGGAGGAGTTGGAGATAATGATTACATTTTTGCATTTCAGAATGTTGTCCTCCCATTAGGTTAGTATTCATGGTGGTTAACTGACATATTTGGTTCATCTTAATCTTTTGGAATTTCTGTTATAAAAGATTTCATGCTGTGAAGAAAATGGACTGGCTTTGGGAATTTTAGAATCGCCTTTAAGATGGGAATGAACGTTTGATGAGTTAGATGAAAACTGTCATGTCGATGGGTTAGTTCTACATTCTTATATTTACAACTTCCATCTTGTTCTGGGTCTTTGGTTAATTCTTGCGAGGTCCTCTTTGGGCTGCCTTTCTGTGTTCAATACCAAAAAAATTAGACAGAAAATAAAATAAAATAAAGCTGTGATGGAATGTGTGGCAGAACTTCAAAATATGTGAAAAACCTTCACATTTTTTCCGGGATGGCTTAATAAGTATTAAATTCATAAGACTTCTGTAGATGATTAGTCTTTCTTGCCCATGCATTAATTCTTTCCATTTATGGTCTATTTCTCCTTCAGTCCTCCTTCCACCTGATAACATCTTAAGCACATCATATGTGCCTCAACCTCTTATATTGTTTGAATTGTATTTTTTAGCTTCTGAGTTTGCTCCAGATTTCACCATAATATCAGCTGGATTTGATGCTGCAAGAGGTGATCCCCTAGGATGTTGTGATGTAAGAATTTCCTTTATTCACTTTCATCTTTTGGTTAAAAATTTTGGTTGCATTAATGGACAAAATTGCGGGCTTTGTACATGCAATGAATTATAATTGAATGCAGAGTGTAGTCAATCTTGTGCTCTGAATTCCTTTTATTGAATGTGCTGCTTCATTTTTTTTTTTTTTTTTTGAGTTTGTAGAAACGTTCAATTCAATATATTTATATTAAATATGCATTTTTCCAACATTCAAAATTTCATTTGATGATGCAGGTCACTCCCAATGGTTATGCACAGATGACAAACATGTTAAATGCCCTTTCTGGTGGAAAGTTGCTTGTCATTCTTGAGGGGGGGTTTGTAGCTCATGCATTTAGTGTTTATACATACACACATCGAAAGCAATTAGAAAAACACTGCTCCATTCCAATATGATGTGTCTTTCACTTCAACTTGACATTGATGCTTTTTTATGCAGTTATAATCTCCGCTCTATTTCATCTTCTGCCACTGCAGTGATCAAGGTACATCCTTTTGCCCATCATAGTATGTTCTCATTTCCACTTGGGAGTGTTTCCTGGTCTTTTCCTAGTTTCTGACTTGGTAGCAATTATCTATCCACTATGAAGGTATTGCTGGGCGAGAGTCCTGAATTTGAGCTGGAAAATAACTTCCCTTCCAAAGCTGGCCTACAAACTGTTTTGGAAGTCCTCAAAATTCAGATGAACTTTTGGCCTTCTCTAGAACCCATCTTTGGGAATTTGCAGTCGCAATGGGGAATGTACCGTCTTGGAGAAAAAAGTGAGGAACCATCTCTGATCTGCATTTAATAATTTTTTGGCCTTATTTAGAACCTATCCATTTGCAAAACTGCTCAATTTTGGCTTACTTCGAGGGGAAGGAATGGTGAAAGGAGATATTTTATTTTGTTATGAGGGTAAAATGCTATTTTATCGCCTGCATTATCAAGTGATAATAATGAAAAAATAAGTTTAAGTAGTCGCAATCAAATTCTTCTGTAAAAGTATACGGTTTTTCCCCGAAGAGCATATGTTGCTTTGTTAAACTTTGGTTTTTGCAGAACGTGATAGCAAATACTTACAAATTGCATTAAGTTTTGTTTTAAAATAACATGCCTTCCTTCTCCAGATGTCGAAGTTAAAATCCTGTAGTTATGGGAAAATTTAGATTCTAATTACCTGATTATGATTATCATTATTCCTTTACATGTAGGGAAACAGAGAAAGAAGAAACGCCGCGTCCAGCTACCCATATGGTGGAAATGGGGAAGAAAAAGTTTCATATACTATGTTCTAAATGGCCATCTTCGTTTAAAGTCAAAGTGATCTTTTCGGGTGCATGTTAGATAAGTGCAGGCATAACTTGTAAAATTTTCAGCATCCTTGTACATTCTACCTAGATTTCAGGTTAAATATCATTTTTGCTTGACCATCAGCATGGTGATTCTAGTGAAATATTTTCATTTTTTTCCTTTTTGGGTTTTGTTGGGGATTTTTGAGCAAGGGAAGAAAGAAAAAGATGGATGTGAAGAAGAGGGAATGGAGGAGTAAAACCAACTTTTGATGCCGGTTTTTTCCTGAAACACAGGAAATTGATTCAATAGTATGCCCCTCGCAGATGTTATAATAGTAATTGAGAGTTATTTTGGTCCTTTTTTTTTGGGCTGAAATGGTCCTCAACAGGATGTGAAAACACCTATCAATATCAATCAAAGAGATGTTATAAATAAATAAAAAATTAAAGAGAAAATCATAGAAATTTGCATTTGACGGTGGGGGAGTCAATTCAAAACATTTGTTACTACATTGAGCTACATCTGAAGACTAAAGTAGTATGGGATGGGAGCTAAAAGATTGATTCGCTGTGCCGGCCATGCCCATGATCTGACGATTTGAGCTAAATAGTTGGATCTTGTCGGACTTTTCCCTCTGGTTTTGCCCTTTCTCCTCTCTAGCCCTTTCACTTCTTCACTGAGTTAAGCGTGCTGCATGCTGTGTTTTAACCCCTTTTTTTATTATTGAAAAGCTAAGATCGAAGCATTCAAGAATTAGAGATGCGCATAGGTATGTCAAGATAGTCGACTATCATAACTTGTGTCCGACATTGCTTACAGATATTTTCACATCGAATTGACTTATTGTCTCCAAAGATTCTGTCGTGTAGTTCCGGGAAAGGTTTGTGACTGTTAGTGCAAATGCGTTGAGGATAGTTGTATTTTTTAAGCACAAGAAGTTTTTTCCCCCTAATCAAACTGTCCATCACGCACAAGAAATCGCTATGAAGCTTAAGTGCCCATGTTAAGCCCGGAAACAAACAAGTTCACTTGGTTCGATTCATAGCGATTTCTTGTGCGTGGTGTTTACAATGAAATTATTGCCATAACCATGTACACCAGGACACATTCTTCCAGTATAACAGGGGAAGGGGCAAAACACCCAAAAGGGAAAAAGAACAGAGTCTACTGTTTGTAAACTCTCCAACAGTACTAGGGATTTTAAAAAAATTCTTTGCCAGAAAGTACACCAGAGTAAAATTTAAATTACAACAGTCATTAGATTCATTCCACATAAAATGAGCAGCTGCTTCTCTCCAGAATGCATACTGAAACTAACCAGAAATCCAAAAACTAATCATCTGTGCATTGTTGGAGATGCCATTGGGTAAGCCATTGGAACAACATAAGGAGGATGAGGATGAGGTCCGGGAGGCATCATCACAGGGGTCCCTACAGCAGAAGCCATATGACTTGGAGGAGCAGCAACAGGGTGCCCTACTGGTGCTCCATACATGCCAATTCCAGCAGGTATATGAGGTTGATGAGGCCTATGCTTCATAGATTGTGCCACACCCATTGTGCTTGATGGGTTTGTGTTTGCGTGCTGGCCTGTTATTGGCGCCTGGTTAGTTGCCACATCCCCATTGTTCACACTTGTTATGTCATGGATGCTTGACCTTCTCCTATCCCTATTCATGGAGTTCAACCTAATAAAGTACTTCTGTGCGTGGCTTGCCACTTGAGTTGGGGTCCTTGACATCACAAAGTTCCTTGATATGCTCCTCCAATCTCCCTTTCCAAATTTGTCAAGGCCAAGCAGAAATAGCCTGAAACAGAAAAGATTTGAAGACCCATTTACATTGATATGAAGCATGATCGAATTTAAAGTTTAGACACAATATGCTACTCCATCTTTGTGTTTGACATTCAATTTCCAAAGATGTAAGCCTTTGAGTTTTTATGCTGATATCTGAAGAAACTAAGCAATTGTGACTGGGGAAGTACCTATGCTCTTCTTCTGTCCAGGGAATTCCTTTTCGCCTTTCTTGTTCTGAGGATTTTGAGGAGCCTCCTTTACCAGCATGCCCAGATGACTCATGTCCCACCCCGGAAAACCCACTTCTGAAATTACAATTAGATCTTTTATCTGAGGTGGAAGCCTTGGAGGAAGAAGCATGCAATTCCTTACTTGAAGAAGTAGCTTCTTCTCCACCAGTATAGTTTGGAAGTGGAATATGGCCTGCCTCTATTGCACTCACATCTTCTAATAACAATCTGTAATGTTGCTTCAACTCCTCCATGCTTTTGCTGGGAACAGCTGATGCAATCTTCTCCCAGTGTTCTTTTGAGTCCTCTTCAACCCAATGCATTGCGATGGCATTCTCAAACGCTTTTTCTTCTTCATAGCTCCAAACGATTCCACTTGATGATGACATGGTGGGTTCTGGTTGGATTTGCAAATTGTGGGTTCGATTCCAAACTTGGGATGCTGATGATGAAGAAATTGGTGAAAAATTTTGTTGACGATGGGCGTGTGTGCAATACAATCATTTATTCGTTTATTCATTTTTTCAGAGGGTAAATAAATGCATTATTTGTTATGTGGAATTGTCTCTATGGGACAAAGAAGAAGGGGTGCGCAGGATAAGGGAGAGAGAAAGGAGAATCAGTGTGTAGGATAAGATGTATAGTGGAATCAAACAGTCAATTTTCAGGGAGGACCACTCCCTGTAATTGAAGGGATGGGCTATTTGTCGTTTTCATCCACGTCACTTTCTTCTTTGCCTGCCTATCTTTGTATGAATATTATACCTTCCAATATAAATTCTTACTATATTTAAATTTAGGGTTAATAAAATTTTTTGTTTTTAAAATTTGAGCTCATTTTGATTTTGGTCTTTCAAATTTGAAACTTATAATTTTTGTTCTTGAAAATTAATTTGTCTTAAAACATTACTCTTTGAAGGTGCATTAGTGTTAAAGTTTGCTGAAATATCATCAATGACGTTAAAAATGGTGATGTGGACTCACCAGATAACACCTAGCTGGATTTTATGTAGATAACACAGTGCAGCGTGATGAACAGCTCCTAAAAATGAATAGTAAGGAAGAAAAATCATGAGGCTAAAGAGCTATGTTTTGAGAGCCTCTTTTTTCCCCCCTCCCTCTCTCTTCTATTATCCACATAAGATCCAGTTAGGTGCCATCTGGTGAGTCTATATCACTATTTTAATATTATTTATAACGCTTTAGTAGATTTTAATATTGTTATACGTCCGAGAACTAATGTTTTAAAACAAACTAAATTCTAGGGACTAAAATCATGTGTTTGAAATTTGAAAGACTAAAACTAAAATATGCCCAAATTTCAAGGATGGAAAATTATATTAACCCTTAAATTTATGTTAAAATCTTTTATATTATATGTATTCAATATCTAGTATCCACAATCAATTCTCTTGCACACAGTTTGAGGCTTGTTAATTCTGAGATTTCAGCTTCACAAAACTCTTATTTTATTAGTGAATTGAATGTTTGAGATACAAACAATGATGAAGAGTGTAAAAACGGGTGAGGAAAAAGCTCAAGGAGAATCTTTTTCTTTTAAAAAAAGACCAAAATCACATGGAATTTCGACCATACTAATGAATAGACCACTCCATGATGGTGACTTGCAAGCTAATCACGTTTAGAGGCGGTGATTAAAAGCTAACAAGGCAAAAACCTTCTGGTGCTTCCGACAGCAATTAAAGTTTTCTTGTCAGGTTTGAAATTTTCTAAATGTCTGAGAAATAATCGGATTTATAATTGTGGTTGCTTTTTGTTCATATATTAAGTGAATCAATGGGTGGAAGAGAATGTGAAATTCTTGGGTATGTGAATGGAAATGTATTGTTTGCCCCTTCAATCCATAATACCAAAATTGCCCCAAAAGATATTCGAATTCCAACAAAACTCTCAATAGAAGTCTCTGTGTGCGCGCGTGCATATATTTCTCTTTCCAAAACAAAACCAGAGACGTGGCCAATTCTCGTTTTCTAATTCCAGATAATATGAACCACATTTATTAGGCTGTCATCTTTATAAACAAATCTATTCACATTTTCATCCTCTGTTATACTGTACCTTAGACCGTAAATCAACAAATGGCATTTTCCACAAGTTATTAAATAAACGATTTTTTTTTAAATTTATACATCTTTTCACCTTTTCAATATTTTATATACGTTTCAATAGAATTATGATATAAAAAAAAATGAATGCGATTTTCTGAAAACTTTTCAAGTTATTATCCCATGTATTGCACAAGCTACTGGGGAAAAAGATATCTACTCACACACACACACGCACTATCTTAGTGATTGACTAAGGATGACTTATTATATATATATATATATATATATATATATATATATAACTCTACCTATTTTCTGAGTACAATAAGATAAACACATCATAACCTGAAATACTGATTTAATGATCCTATTAATACCTCTATTGTGTCTCTCTTTATCTCACTAACAGATTTCTATATGATGCAATAAATTCATTTTATGTGCGGACAGTCGTTTATTTTCTAATGGGGTCAAAGGAACTCAAAGCACTTCCTTCAAGCCTAAGTTGGAGCATGCTAGATCGAATGAAAAACAAGGTAGCTAGAGTAAATGGTAGGTTTACCTGAAGAAAACATGGCACAATTTCATCTTATTACCCCAGGGTTCATAATTTAAAACCCTGATATGTTCGAGTATCCACGTCAAATGCTTATTTCTTAAACTTAAAGGACCCTAAGATAGCAAGTTACTTTACTTGTACTTCTAGAAGGAGATGTGTCTCTGTAGGATCAATAGAGTCCACAATTTCCAACTCAGACGTTTTAGGGATAAGCCCTTGCATGTCAGATTTCACTTTTGCATCCCTCCGCAATCTGTCTTGTTCTTGTTCAGCTGCAGCACGCCTACTCTGAAATCATGTCATAAAGTTGGGTCCTTTCAGGAACCGCCTGATAAATATATTCAATCGTAATTAGGTTTAAGGTTTGTAAAACATTAAGTAAATCAAACAGCAATCAAATTAGCACAGAACTACAAATTGAAGGCTAAGTCAAAAAGTAAAATACATATGTATGAAGAGGTAAGTGGGAGAAGGGCGCCATCACAAATATGACAAGTTACCTATACAAGGCAAGCCAGTCTGATGCTATCCGCTTTAATAAGAACTTCCCTGGACTTTCTTGCCGATAATTTTGCACGTAGCTTATCAACACTAATTTGAGGAAGAGAAGGTGGGTTGAGACATGGAGAAGATCCTTCTAGTTGTGTTGTAGGAGGTGTTTAGACAGCATCAAAAATATTTTTTAAAAGCATTTTTTTTTATAAAACGGAATAAACTCCTCCACATATCTACTTTATATATTGTAAAATTATTTTTAAATAATAGTTTGATTTCCATCCAACCATCCTTGAAGCCAATTAGTAGTTAGTTCCAAGAAATGCCTTTGTAACATCTCATCGTTAACAACTGACATTGACTTCCCAGCTGTTGGTGACATCCCAGCATCTATGAGCCTATTTAAGATAGAGCTATCCGGCACGGTCATGGCAGAATAAGCACTCCGAATGGCTTCCTTATGTTCTTTCATGAGACAAGGAGCACCGTCTCTCTGCAACTTAACTGCGCCGAATAAACTTCAAGGAGGAAACTTCTGGAATGCTGTGACGGCCCCATACCATCAGGTCTACCAGATAGTCTGCCCGTGGAAGAAGATCTAGTTGAGAATGAAAACCTGCTTGATTTGGGTGGGCTTCCCACTGAGATAACGTGGGGGTAGTTAGGGAGAGTTTTGAGGAAGAAAATGATAGCCACACTTGAGATCACTGGGGAAAAGTCTCATCTTCTTTAAGTGAGTTTAAATGTGCAAACAAAGGGCCGTGGATTGTAAAATAAGGCCGAAAGTCAACACTACAGAGTAATGGTGCAACTAAACACACAAGACTGGCAATGGCCTCAAACACTGGGGAGGCGTGGGAGCAATGATCAGAATGAGTTCACCAATAGGTGACAACTCCCATAACAACCAAAGCCGCAACAAAAGGCCTTTGAATGTACCAAAAACATCTGACTCATGAAAAAGACCCTGCGGGATATATTTATTATTTGGAAGAAAAGGCGCCAAAGAAGACTTGTCCTCTGAAGGTACACCACTTTCCATGGGCAGGCAACGAGCAGGAGTCAAGCTCACTTTAAGAGTTTCGTTCCCTATCGGAAGATCCATTAACTTACCAGGGACAAGAGTGGACCAAGTTGAAACGTAAGCAACATGCTCCAGAGCTTTATTACCCTTGTCAAAATACAAGGGACCTACGATCTGTAACAAAGGTCTGAAGACACTAGAACAGGGATTATGGGACATATTGCGACAGACTTCTACTCTACTCCTCGTTTTAGCCTCTCTCATTATGTCTCTGTCTACTAAAGACATAGCCATACATGCGTCTAGAACAGTGGCACGATTATCACGCCAGTATGAGATACTTGGGGCCTATGAAATCTGAAAAAGAAAATACAATCAGGGATGCCCGAGTCGTTTCTGTGCTGGGTAACAGAATCAGGAAATGAACGACAGCGATTTCAAGCTCATCATCATGCGTAAGACAGCCAAGTGGATAACAGTCTTCACGGAGTTGGCCTTGATGAAGATCAAACCTCACGGCACAAACGGCAAAAAACCCATCTTTGAAAAGAATCCGTGTCAGCACTTGAAGTTGAACTTAGTTCTGTTTGGACTGTAAAAGAACGAGACCCACTCACATCTGAAAAGAAAAGCAGAAAAAGTTAATAGGAGCTTTGGTTTATCAGAATTCCATCTGCATCATCTGAGACCCCAAAGTAAGGCAGAAGAGAATGTTTCAACTTCCAGACTTGTTTCTCTAAAACGCTGTAACTACTGGAACTCCACTTCAGATAACATTGCCCAACTACTTGATTCCCTTCAGCGGAGAACCTAATAAATCACAACACAAACGGTTATGCAAGATACATATTTGTCAATACAGTTACTCCATTTTTTCGGTAACGAAAACAATTGAAAAAAGAGCAGCGTATTAGCATTACCAGTCACATCCAAATTTAATTAAGATCCATTAAATGGATTGTTCGCGCGGTGCCTGAGAGCAGGAAGTTACAAAAACGGGCACATTGTCTCTTTTCCACTAACCAATCCGGATCTGCAGGACTAACGAACCAAACTGATCGAAAACAAAATGAACCTATGCTACAATGAAACCACATCGATGCAATCCAAATGCTCGGAACCAGTAACTATGGCTCCAATGCGCGAAATTTTCTGCAACTGAACGATATGACTATTTGAAGGAGATGGAAGTGAATGATGACAAATTGATCGTTTTAAAAGCTGACGTTAAAGAGGCAGCGAGCCCCAGCATTCAGTTTGGGCATGGGTCATGATACATAGTGGGCTTTCGATGGCCCAAGTGATTTGGATCGAGGCCCAGATCATATATACAGGGGAAATAATAATTAAGGACCTTGGGAAAAGGTTAATATTAAATTATGACTTTTTAAATATTTTAGAGCTCAAATATGCAAAAAAAGGAGTATT